TATCTTTCTTCTGAGGTTCATCTTCCTCAAGCTCAATCTCATGGCTCCTCAGTGAGCTGATGAGTTCTTCTAGAGAGATCTTGTTCAGATCTTTGGCCATCTTCAGGGCAGTCACCATTGGTCTCCATCTGACAGGCAGACTTCTGATGATTTTCTTTACATGATCTGACGTAGAATATCCCTTGTCCAAAACTTTCATCCCAGCAGTGAGTATCTGGAATCTGGAGAACATGGTTTCAACAGATTCAGAGTCTTCCATTTTGAAAGCCTCATACTTCTGGATCAGAGCCAGAGCTTTTGTCTCCTTAACTTGAGAATTTCCCTCATGTGTCATTTTTAGGGATTCAAACATATCAAAAGTTGTCTCCCTGTTTGTGATTTTCTCATACTCTGTATGTGAAATAGCATTCAGTAATATGGTTCTGGCTTTATGGTGATTTCTGAAGTCTTTCTTCTGAGAATCTGTCATAGATTTTCTGTCAATCTTTTTGCCATCCTCATCTGTGGGATGTACATATCCATCTATGACAAGATCCCATAGATCAGCATCATATCCTAGGAAAAAACTCTCAATTCTGTCTTTCCAGTAATCAAAATTTTCTCCATCAAACATTGGAGGTTTGGTGCTGATCCTATCCCTCTCTTCATATTTATTGTTAATATTGGACATTGAATTATCAGCCATGATAACAAATAAATATAAATATCAAAGTATATCTCTCTGGATCTTTACTGACACTGTTAAGTGGTAGCACACTCAGAACCGGAGCTCTGATGCCAACTGAAGGTGAGATAATACTTAGAAGGGGGGGTTGAATAAGTTATGGAAAATTAAGACTGGAAAATAATCACACAATTATTTTTATCCTGGTTCGTTTAACAACTACTCCAGTCCACCCTTCCAGAGTGATTTGCCTTTCTCAACAAGGACTTAATCCACTATTAAATCAAACTGATTACAATAGTATCACCTAAGAACAACAGTTCTTAGTCTTCTCAAAAGCTACTGATTCTAACTGAATCCTCTTAAGGAATATCCTTTACAATCAATGTAAATTAAATACAAGAGTTTTTAATGCTTCTATAAAGCTTTTATCACAACAGTGATTTTTCTCTTAAGTTTAAGTACAATGAGATTCTATGAAGAATAAGAATGAGAGCTTTTAGAATATTATGATTTCTTTTCAGCAAGTGTGTAACTGAAGAATGAAGTGAAGATCTCCTTTTATAGGCAGCTGAACCATGCAAGCTGAACGTTGAAAAGAGAGTCCCAAAAGGTCTGAGCCTTTTTGTCTTCACATCAACTGACCTTTCCTTGAAATAGATGGCACAGAAAAATCCTTTTTGTCTGTGTAAGTGTGTCTAGCACAAATAAGGAAAGAGACGTTGAATAGTTCCAACGGATATATTCTTGAAAATACTTCTTCAGTTTCAGCAAGTTCTTCAGAGTCTGAATGGATCAGAGTCTTCTAATGAGATTCAGAATTATGTTGTATCAGAGTCTTCTGTAGCATGTGTGCTTCTAGCGTGTTGATCATCAGAGTATTTTGACACAGAACTTCAGTACTTGGCAGCGTAGGTACTTTCAGAAACTTCTGTAGATTAATGCTTTGAGAAACTCTTCAATCAATATTCTTCTATACTTCAGATGCTTCAGCTTCAGATGCTTCTGATTATCTTCAGATGCTTCTGACTCAGAATGTTCTGGAGCTTCTTGCTTCAGATCCTTCTGGAGACTACGCTGAGGATCTTCTGTAAGGAGCAATCAGATTCTTCTGTAAGGTGCATCTGGCGCTTCAGAGTCAGAATAATTTCTTGTATTCAAAACAGATTTGCTTCTAGAGAGTTAATATAATTTCAATCTGTAGTAAAACTCTCAAACAAATTTTAGAGTATATAATTCTTAAATATAAATTTCCTAACAGTTATCATCAAAACAAAGAGTAATTATTGAGAACCAATCTGTGTTCAAACAATAATCACCATTAGCCTCAACTGCCACATCCAAATGGTATTTGTACAACATCTCCAGAGATTTAAATCTAGCATAACCTCCTCTAGTGTTATCTATCTCTTATAAGACATATATTTAAAAGAATAAATATGGACTTATTTTACCTTATTGTCCCACGTGTGCCTAACAGTATGGTCTTCATACATATAAAATAATGATGTGTCTGAGGGACTGTCTGTAAAAAACATTAGGAACGACATTAACAAGTTGGACTTTTAAGGCTTCTAGGGCAACAAGTTGGACTTCTGGGGTTTCATGGAAAATAACATAAGACTCATGTCTCCAAGAGTACAATGCAGGAGAAAGTGAACTCTAGAAGACAGTGCTCTTGCATCAAATGAAGTGGCACCAATATCTGGACGAAGGTGTATAACTTTTTTCGTCTGAAGAGGAGCATGTTGAGGCACTCCACCATGTCTCAATCTTCTTTGTTGTCAGACATTTTACTTTTATTTAAACTAGTAAAATAGGCAAAATCAAACAAGTTATGCATATCAAGAAAATCTGGAAGTTAACTTATGTACCAGGAAAAAAAAGAGCATGCCCAAAGCTCTAATCAAAAAATATAAATGCACGTCTCACTAAACAACCTATTATGTGTCTTAAGAGCAACTTTAACGCAGAGTTGTTAAACCAAAATTCTTTATAGTTTACGTTAGTAATAAGGAATTTGCATTATAGGAGAGCTGACATGACATCCAAATGAACTAAAATTTAGTTTCCATTATCTATATAGTTAATATTAACTATGTGAAACCTATTATAATATTATTTAATATTAATAAAATATTCCAAATATTCCAACAAGGATATGATATTTGAAAATAGTAACAGACATATTATCATTTTTTACCTTCTATAAATTGATGTAATAAAAATGTTTACCAATTTTAAGAATTGAACCAATACCCCTTAGGTTGCAAGTGATGCACTTGACCACTACCATGTAGCATTACAATTGAACATTTAATATTTAAATTCATATATAATATTTTGAAATAAATTTTTTAAATTTTATTTAAAAAATATATTACACTAATAACTATTAAAATAACAATTTTATAAATTGATAAATTTGTATGAGCCAATTTTAAATGCATATTTTATTTGTTAAAATAAGAAAAATATGAAAATTGGCTAAAAAATAAAAATTGAGAATGGATTAAAATATTAAAATATAAAGGAGAAATTTGTTAGGAAATAGTAATTTTATAAAGGGAAAAACAAAAATTATTAGTGACACTGAATTTTTTTAAAGAGTTAATTTTATTTATAAATGTTTTTTTTTACTGAATATTACTGTTGCTAGATTTATGATGCTAATTTGGTAGTTATTTTTAATTTGTGACTGACTTAGTGACTTTAAAATTTTATCAATAAGATGTCAAATTTCGCTGGTTGATTTGGTGGTTGTAGTGACCGAAATTTTCTGTCACTAATTCAATCACTAAAAGCGAACTTTCTAATAGTATAATAAGAGATGTGACAAAACTTGAAAAATTATGAAAATGAAGTTTACTAACAAGCTCTCTTTTGCGTTCTAAATAAACTTTCTAAAATGAAGAAGAAAGAAGGAATGTTTGCACATTTATATAAATCAAACTAGTTCGAACGTTAACCTCTATAAAAAATACATACATTAACTTTCGTAAAAAATACGGAAATTAACCTCTGTAAAAAATACAGACATTAACTTTCGTAAAAATTATAAAGATTAACTCTAAAATTTTTCAACTATTTCCTTGACTCGAGTCAGAGACTTGACTTTGATTAAATTTTGAATGCATTTAGAATTTAAGTTTCAAATTTTAGAGATACTAATGGTTCCAAAGATCCAACAATCTCTGGGACTGGGCCTAGTGGGTTTGGTAGGAGTTGGGTCACGCTTAGTCCTATTAATCAAGTCTGATAGATACAATGCCCATGTCAAAAGATGCTTTCTTTCTTTTTATCTTCTCTTTTTTTGACCACAAGATGAGGATATCACACCTAACCTAAACCATCCTCATACTGGAAATGAAATCTTCCAAACTCAATGATACAATAAAAAAGTTAAAGACTATGCTGACATAAAATACAGTTACACATGACTAGCCACAGGACTTATATACAAAATGATAAATGTAACTATTAAGAAAATTAAGGGCTTTAGGGTTTTGCTAGAATTTTCTTATAGTAAAGCAAGTTGGAACACATGTAATAGTAATCATGATTAGCACTAAATCATGTAGAGCAATGATATCTTCCATCTTAGGTTCCCCACATATAAACATTTTTTAATCTACCCCTTAAGATTTTTAATTTGCTTTTATCAAAATTCATGATCAATCAATGTGCATGGGCTCTTTCATAAAAAAGAAAAGAAATAGTCCTATGGTAGGCCACCCGCTCGTGCAATGCAGCTAATCTTGGCCCATCACAGCCAACAAAACTGATCATGAAGTTGAACCTTCACATTAACTATTGGTAAGAGATCATTATTAATGAAAATATATAAAAAACGGTTGAGCCGGTTTAATAATTCAAAAGGTCGGTCCCGTTTAATCCGGTTCAACAAAAACTCGTAAAAAATGAGACGGACTGGAACAGACATAGTTGAGAGTGTGAATCTAAAACTTAGCTCCACCCAACAAAATAGTCATCAAAATAGTCACCAGGGCGGCACATTAGAAGATCAACCTTAAATGTTAGATTTATTCTGCACTAGAAGTGCGGGCAAAACGAATAGTCCAACCGACTGGATTCATTTTGTCACCTCTAACTGCAATGTAACCGGTTCAAACCAACCCATAAACATGCAACTTTTGGTTCAGCCGGTTGAACCGGTTTTTTAAAGATTGATAGCTATATAAGAATTTAATGTGAAAGTGTGATATAGGAAGGAGTGTGGAAAGAAGCACTTCTCCTTTCTATATATATTTTTGGTCACTCAATTCTATTTTCTTCCTCTTAAAACACTTTTAAGGGAGATAACAGTAACAACAAAATGACTTCTGAGAAAGTTGAAACTGTTGTTGCTGGAAACTACTTAGAAATGGAAAGAGAAGAAGAAGGTTCCAAGTCCACAACTAGCAAATTATCTAAACTCTTTTGGCATGGTGGTTCTGTCTATGATGCTTGGTTTAGTTGTTCTTCTAATCAGGCACTTATTCATTAAATCACTTTTTACTTCTTTGATTATGCAATATCTTCAAAATTCTCATAGTATATCTATTTTCTGAAATTTGATTATGTAGGTTGCACAAGTGCTTTTGACATTGCCTTATTCGTTTTCGCAACTAGGCATGTTATCTGGAATTCTATTTCAGATTTTTTATGGACTAATGGGAAGCTGGACTGCTTACATTATCAGTGTTCTATATGTTGAATACAGAACTAGAAAAGAAAGAGAGAAAGTTGATTTCAGAAACCATGTTATTCAGGTGATTATATATTAACTATATAATTCGGTTTATTTTCCGTTTATTCAGTATTTAAAGTTTGAATTTGTAATCTCGAATGACAGAGTTCAAATCTCTTACGCAACGGTTGTAAATATTTTATTTTTTTTCAATTTTTGCAGTGGTTTGAAGTTCTTGATGGACTTTTAGGCAAACATTGGAGAAATCTTGGACTATTTTTCAACTGTACTTTCCTTTTGTTTGGATCAGTAATTCAGCTAATTGCTTGTGCAAGGTTAGTACTATAGTACTATTAATTTGTATATAGTTTTAAAATCTTAAGGTAACATTTTTTTTTTTGGTATAATATGAATAATTTGACAGTAACATATACTACATAAATGACCATTTGGACAAGAGAACATGGACCTACATATTTGGAGCATGCTGTGCAACAACAGTTTTCATCCCCTCTTTCCACAATTACAGAATTTGGTCATTTTTGGGCTTAGTCATGACCACTTACACTGCATGGTATATGACCATAGCTTCTTTGGTTCATGGACAGGTATAGAATTCATGTTCAACTTCGTCATTTAAAATTGTACAGTTAATGATTTATGATAATGTTTTTGAAGGCTGTGGATGTGAAGCACTCTGGTCCAACCAAATTGGTTCTTTACTTCACTGGAGCTACCAACATTCTATATACTTTTGGTGGACACGCTGTTACAGTGTAAGGACTCGAATTTATTGGATTAATTTAAGATCGTAACACGGTTTTTTAATGTGAATCTGACAGTGTTGTATTGATTTTAGGGAAATTATGCATGCAATGTGGAAGCCACAGAAGTTTAAGATGATATATCTAATTGCAACTCTATATGTGATGACATTAACTTTGCCATCAGCAGCTGCAGTATATTGGGCATTTGGAGACGATCTTCTCACTCATTCCAATGCTCTCTCCTTGCTCCCGAGGACAGGGTTTAGAGATTCAGCTGTCGTTCTCATGCTCATTCATCAGGTACTGATACAGTGAGACACTGACACCGATAATAATTTAATAAATTGAAAATTTTAATTGTAACCATTCACGTTCGTGTCTGACACACTGAGCATATCAGAAATACTGGTGCTATATAGATTACTATTCACACGTCCTTATAATTTTTTTTTTCAGTTTATAACATTTGGATTTGCTTGCACACCTTTATATTTTGTGTGGGAGAAGTTTGTTGGAGTGCATGAAACCAAAAGTTTGTTCAAAAGAGCATTGGTTAGGCTTCCTGTGGTAGTTCCAATATGGTTCTTGGCAATAATATTCCCATTCTTTGGTCCCATTAACTCTACTGTTGGATCACTCTTGGTTAGTTTCACAGTTTACATAATTCCAGCCTTGGCACACATGGTCACCTTTGCTTCAGCATCTGCTAGAGAGGTAAAAAATTTTCTTATGTACTATCATCGTGATTCTGATAATCTCAGCGCATATTCAAACATAAGCTTATTTTAATATGCTCTCGTTGATAGTACTTATGTACTATATACTCTCTTTCTATTAATATTATAAATAAAGATTTATTTTTTAAATTTATTGAATAACTGATGTATCTAATATATATTTTATTCATTCATTGACAGAATGCGGTGGAGAGACCACCATCGATTTTAGGAGGATGGGTAGGATTGTATTCAGTGAATGTGTTTGTGGCTGTATGGGTTTTGGTGGTTGGATTTGGATTAGGAGGATGGGCAAGTATGCTTAATTTTGTACACCAAGTTAAAACATTTGGACTATTTGCTAAGTGCTATCAGTGTCCACCTCACAAGGCCTAATTACTCTCTAATTTCTTGTGACACATTCTGTTTCAGATCATACATGTTTGTAAAGAGATTTGTGGCTTTTGGACTGCTTTTTTCTTTTTTTTTTTCTTTTTCCATATATTATCTCTTTTATTTTAATTTTTTTCAATGTAAGAAGCCAGCTAAGTGATGTTGATTTGTATCAGCTAATTAAAGGTGTGATGGCAATCATGGCCACCCCTTAATACCAACTTAATCACAATTAGAATTTTGTGTGTTGATTATTATGATATGTATTATCACTTAAATTATCAATTTTTGTTGTGCAATTACACCTTGATATATATGCTTGCTCTCATTTTGTTTTGTATTTTGAATTGTTTTGCTTATACTTTCTTTTCTGATTATTTATAAATATGATTAACCACAAAAACTAAAGGAGTCTAGAAATTCACTTTTCTATTTAGACAATCTGTTATGTCTATTTTCCTTTCATTCCAGGATAGAATTCCTTAACGTCCACAAAACTCAACAAACAATTAATAAAAAAAACATTGAAAATCATCTTTGAAAAAAATAGTTACGTTGTATGGATGAGAGTAGAGATATTTGAGTCCTAAAACGTGGTTTTTAAGAAATTATAAAGGGATAAGTTAAGGCATCTAGAAATCATAAAGAGGTAAAAGTATCTTTTCTTTTACTTTAGAAGATACTACACATATTCGCTAACACTTACAAAATAAACCATAGGATTATCCACCTTTACAACTCACAAGAATTTACCTTGCAAAGTACAAATACTATGGAACCAATAGGAAAGTACACACTCACTTGGAGATTTGTTAAGAATAGGAAGGTTGTAAAAAGATAGACAATGACACAGGCCTAAAAGGAAAATTAAAGTTACATAGTTGGTGTTGGATGAGCTATCAGAAGCTTTTTTTTTTTAAGGAGAGAATCATAAAGATTCATATTGGTTCGAGAAATTATATTGAAATAGTTTATATAGAGTAATACCTCTCACTTTATCAACTGGTTTTATAGAGTTGTGTTAGATCAAACTCTAATATAGTATTAGAGTCTATCGATCGGATCTTAGACAATCCACAGTTTAAATCCATGTACCAAGTTCAAAAAGAGTGCTGGACGTGAAGTGGTGTGTTAGGAGAATTATAAAGTCCTACATTGGTTGGAGATAGAGCATTGAAATAATTTACATAGAATGACACCCTTCACCTTACCAACCGATTTTGTAGAGTTGTGTTATATCAAACTCTAATAAACGCTCAAATTTCTTACTCTATTAATTATTGAATTTATGGTTATTTTACATCCATTTTTAGTGTTTTTAATCATGACAATAAATAGGGAGACTAGTTTTATCTTCGTATCCAAATTTAAATTTATGATAAACTTTCGTTCCTATTTCGATCTTTAATTTGAGATGATGAATCGAATCACAAACTCATCTCAAACAAATTCAAGTAATCATTTTTATGTAATCATAGAAATAGTCTTTTCTCTGACATAGAAATTACATTCCTAAAGAAAAAAAAAATCTCCAAACACACATTTAAAATAAAAAATTGAAAATATAGCTAGTATTCCAAGCTATAAAAACTAAATAATAAAAATTATTGTTCTTATTATAAACCCCTCTTCAAATATTTTTAATGAGAAAAAACTCAAATTCAAATTCAAACTCAATCAAAGTGTCTAATTTGAGACGGATTCAAGTGAGTATCATCGATACGGAATACATGCTTAAATGTGTTAGAAATCAAATACTAATAAATTATTTATATATATCTAATATTTTAAAATTTTAAAGAGATTTCGTGATTCATTGACTCACGGTTATTTTTGATAATTTTTGAACTTTCCAACACTATGGTATCATATCATCATTACCTAATGACCGAATCTTATCTAAAATCCTTTGATTGTATTGAAAAATGTCATATCTTCCTTGATTGGTTTCTTCAAATAGATATTGTCTAGTTGTAGTGAATGATGAAGTGTGATAAATCAAGGAGCTGTAAAATGCAAAATCTATGGTATATTATGGGCCACAAACTTTGCAGTCATGCCAATCAACAAGAACTATATAAGGCACTTATCACATAACTTAAATTGGTTGTTGCCTAATTTGATGTGTCTTCTTTGCATGTTATGGGAAATGACAAACACAATGAACAAATAGCTTTCACTTTTTTCCTTAAAAAAAAAAACTATTACTTTCAAATTTCGTCAACTAGTAATTATCTTTTTCTTTTGGACCCTTTTTATGGACCTAGAGTGATTGTTTGCATATTAGGGTATATAAACGACATATATTTTATATGAATTAATTGCACTTTTTGTCAAGAAAAGATTAGCTCATCAAGGAAAAGTTAGCATAATATAGTTCTATGATTGAGGATTATAGGACAATCCTACCTAGTTACAACAATTAGATTGTTTTTATTAGGCCACATTAGTTTTCATGTTTTTATTAGGCTTTGAATCGAAAAATTAGCTTAACTAATAATTCTCAACAATGATTGTTATTTATTCAAGGGATTATATTAAGATGTAAACATTATTATCGAGTGTTAAGTATGGTGTTTTGAATAGTTTAACTATGTAAAGTTAATTTTTTTTACAATATCTAATATTTATAGGTAAGCACTAGTTTTATTGGCCAAAACTAGAGGTGACAATTAAATCCATTAAGACAAAATCCATCCAATCCATCCATAAAAAAATCTATCCAATCCATCCACCACACAAAAAATAAGTTAATGGATTGGATTAAATTCATCCATTTATATGCATGGATGGATTCAATCCATCCATTTATATGCATGGATTGATTCAATCCATCCAACATATTTTAAGGATCCAATGGATTATTTTTATTTTCGTTAGATTTATTTTTTTAAAATTAGATTTTTTTAAAAATAATTAAAAAATTATATTTTTTTCTGAAAAAAAAATTTAATTTTTTTGAAAAAAAATCTGTTTTTTTTTTCAGAACAAAAAACTGATTTATTTTTCGAAAAAAAACCGACTTTTTTTTTGAAAAAAAATCAGTTTTTTTTTTCAGAATAAAAAACTGATTTGTTTTTCGAAAAAAAAAATAAATTTTTTTCTCGAAAAAAACAAAATTTCTCGAAAAAAAAGCCGACTTTTTTTTGGAAAAAAATCGGTTTTTTTTTCATAATAAAAAACTGATTTGTTTTTCGAAAAAAAAATAAAATTTTTTCTCGAAAAAAAAACCGACTTTTTTTTTGGAAAAAAATCAATTTTTTTTTCTGAAAAAAGTCGTTTTTTTTTTAAAATAAAAAACTGATTTGCTTTTCGAAAAAAAAATCGACTTTTTTTTTCCTGAAAAATCGTTTTTTTTTCAGAATAAAAAACTGATTTGTTTTTCGAAAAAAAATAAAATTTTTTCTCGAAAAAAAAACCGACTTTTTTTTTGGAAAAAAAATCGGTTTTTTTTTCAGAATAAAAAACTAATTTGTTTTTGAAAAAAAAATATTTATTTTTACGAAATTAAAAAAAAAGTTGGATGGATGGATATCCATCCATTAAAAATATGTTAATGGATGGATTGGATGGATTTTATTCTTAATGGATGGATCGGATTGGATAATTTTAATAAAATTTTAGTGGATTTTAATAGACTAATGGATTGTTTTAATCCATCCATTAGCAATCCAATCCATCCATTTTGCCACCCCTAGCCAAAACGATGCGATCTTTGAATTTAGCACTGTTCAGTTATTTACATAAGTCATGCGTGAGTTTTCCCTCTATTGAGAGAAAATGACACCTCACGTTCCACTTGATTGTGTGCAGATCTTTGAGAACATGGTTCTTTAACCTTAACATTATTTAGTTATTGGTGCTATAAACATGATGCGCGAGTAAATTGTCCATTTGTCAAACCCTATTAAGTTTTCACTAATTTTAATACTTTCATGAACTTTGTTGACATGAGCAAACTTGATAAAAAATTGACTATCTTGTATTCAAATAAATATGCACTCATTAAATTTTTGATCATCTAAGAGAACATCGCTTGATAGGAACTCACATGGTATAAATATCAGCTAACAAGTTATTTATTAGGTGTAAACATATGTCCTTCCGTGTTGTTTCATCAATTAGTTTTGAGTTAGGAGTGATGAAAGTATGTCACACTATGTTTTTAATGCTTAAATTTGCTGTTTTTAAGAGTTTTTGTTATCATATATATTTCCGTTTTGTGAATTTTAATAAAGAATTTGAAGATTCATGGAAAATACCAAACTATATTGAAATCATATTAATCAAACAAATTTCATAGTATGTTATTATGAAAGTTACAATGAAAAAGCAAGGATAGGTATAGAATACGAAGGACATAAGAAAATTAGAGAAAAAAACATAAGATAGACAATATTATTAGACGATAGGTTTTGATCTAGAGGGGGGTGAATAGATCACAAATTTAAAACCAAAAACTCTTGGCAAAAATTTCTTTTCAAAAAATATGGCACGATGAAAATAATCTGATTCAAATCGTCTGACTGAACCTACTATCGCAAAGCTCAGATATGCGTAATGAAAACCAATGGAATCATAATAAACACAAATTGTTCAACAACGATTAATTCACGGATTAATCAAATGCAAATCTATTCGTAAAACTTATTTTCAATTAACACAACGATAAAAATACTCAAAGGCAATTTATCGAACACTTTGTGTGCGATTGATCACGTTTGGAAATTCGATTTGTTTTGTTGATGTAAAAAGTCAATCATAATCAAAATGATTGTAATTATATCAACAATAACACTTTAAAAGATAGTTGAAAATAATTTCTAATCGAATTAATCGAAACAACAACGAAATCGAAAATTTGCAAGAATAACAATTAAAGAGAAATAAAGTGATAAAGAGACACAAAAATTTGTTTAGACATTTCTTTAATCAACCTCGTTATGGGTACGTCTACCCTCAATCTGAAACCAAATTGAGATACTTGCAATCAATTTTATCTT